TGTGAACCGGTTTTCAGGGCATCTAAATTGTTGATGAAGGGAGATTTCTCTTTGTAGGAATATTCTCTCTAATGAATGAAGGAGGAAGGAAAGAGAATATCTCCATTTTGTAATCCCCAACGAAAGAAGGACCTAGGCCTGTCCGGAGTGAGCACTCAACTGGCTGCGCCCAGCGGACGTGCTCTAAGTGTGACGTGCATGCCACGCTTTAGAGACTTAGCACGAAGGAACAAATTCAGGTTTCTCATCACTAACTTTCATCTTGATTATATGTTGAAATGGTAATATTTTAGATATATTGGGTTAAATAAGATTTTTAAAATTATGATCACCTATTTTTTAAACTTTTTAATGTGGCAACTAGATGATTGATAATCACCTACGCGGCTCCGTTGTGGGTCAGGTTCTCCTTTTGTGGAATGGTCAAAGGGAGAGCCCCAGGGTGGACGTGCTCGCCAGTGGCCAGACACGCCATCCAGCTCGCAGCTTTGCCCAAAAATCGACTCACAGCTCATCGCACTTGTAGGTCTGACTCCAAGTTCACAGGAAGCGCAGGGGCAGGGCGCGTGCAGGACAGGAACCTGTGAGGACCCCTCCAGGCGGGCGGCCCAGCGTCTTCACAGATGAGCTGCATAGGGAAAGCAGAGGAGGGAGGGACGATGTATAGATTTAAAGAGAACAACTAGCCAGAAGGCCTGGCCCTTATGTTTGCACAAGCCATAAAAAATATTCATCAGACAATTAGGGAGTTTGAACACGGGTTAATATTTGATGATATTCAGGAATTGCTGCTACTTTTTTTCAGTTGCGATAACAGTGTAAAATAGGATATTGTGTACTATAAAAAGGGGCCCTAAACCGTCAGAGGCTCTTACAGAGATGTTTTGGATGAAGTAGTGTGATGTCTGGGAATTCCTTCAAAACATGCGGGTGTCGTCAACTATAATTAAAGTAAAAAGAAAACTAAGCCAGTTCTGTGAGAAGTGGGTGGGATACAGACAAAACAAGCCTGGCTGCATGGTGACAGCTGTTGAAGCCGGATAATGGGGTTCTGTTATACTTTTCTCCTTACTTTGACATATGTTTGAGCTTTTCCATAATAAAAAGTAAAAAAAAAAAAAAATCCTTCTAATGATCATGGAATCAAAAGAAACCCTCTGAGTGCTCCAGGCCCCCTCCTTAGGCTGGTGGCCTGGGGTGTAGGTGGGGGCCGGGGCCACAGAGCGAGAGGTCCCGTGACACCCCGCCTTGTTTTGTGACCGCGGCTCCCTTGCAGGTGCCAGCCCTTCCGTCCTTCCCACTCCCGCCCTGCCTCTGTGGGGCTGGTGAGGGCAGACGGGAGTGGCCGGGAGACCGGCTTTCTTAGAACATTAGGAAGGATCCATTTCTCTCTCGACTGTCCTCCGCGCTTCAGTGGGGTGCAGCCCAGTTTAGCTGGCCCGTCGGATCCCTCCGTGAATGCGAAGTGTCGGGGCCTAAAACAACCCTGGGGGCTTTGGTTTTAAGGAGTCCTTGTCCTTCCTGACTGTGAGGGCAAATATTGTATAAATGACCTTACTGGCTTCAGAGTCTGAAAGTCTGTTTTCCATTAGTTATCGATACTAGTAATCAACGTCATCATTGATTGATAAACACTTATGGCACACCTACTGTGTGTCAGAGTGGAACCATTCAGGGGAGAGAGTCAAAACAGCTCCTGCTTCCAGCCGGTCACTGGACATGTGTCCTGTGCTGCTGTGGGCCGTGGCCGTGGCCGTGGCCGGGCACCCCGGCTCAGGTGCTGGGGCGGGGGGTAACGGGTAAGCGCTCAACCCACGTCCGGTCGCGTTCCCGGGCGCTCGTGAGGACACCTGCATGTGGACATCCTCCGAGCCTCCCTCCTGCACATCCTTTTTGTGCTTCTCTCTCAGGATGAGCGTGCAAACCATCCGAAACGTCTTCAGTGTCGAAACTGGCTATCGGCTCTCAGATGATCAAATAGTCAACCACTTTCCGAACCACTATGAGCTGACCCGGAAGGATCTGATGGTGAAGAACATTAAGAGATACAGGAAGGAGCTGGAGAAGGAAGGCAGTCCTCTGGCGGAAAAGGACGAGAATGGAAAATACCTCTATCTGGGTTCGTGTCTTTTTTGCTGGCCTCAGGTTTTACATAAAGAGTTGAGTTTTTCCTTTGGTGGCACAAGGCACCGAGGTGGCGACCATCAGCTTTGACAGGTGACCGCGTTTGTGCAGAGTGTCTCCGGAAGGCTGTGTGTGAGGTGGGGGTTCTCACATTTGGCATTTGAGATTCCGTGAGCACCTCGGGAATTGCCTGTCAGGAAGAGAACGTCCTCGCTGCCCAGTGTGGGGGGACCACTTTCCGAGCTACGAAGTGCCACGAGGGAGTGTTACTGCTTCTGTCGACAACCAGGGAGGACGTGTGTCCCTGTCCTGTGTGGCGATCAAAGCTGGGCTGTCTGATAGTTTCAGGATTCCTTTACGTACTTGGGCAAAATTATGTAAGTGACCTCTCCGGGCCTCAGTTGCCTCCTGTGATAAACGGGCGTGGTGGCGGTACCCAGCTCACAGGTGCCGTGAGGATGAGTTGATACAGGTTTCTGTGGCGCTTGGTACACAGGTGATAAAGGTGACGTTGCCAGGAGTTGAACCACCCAAGTCCTTGTTGTGTTAGATGCTGGTTTGGGGCTGCGGGTAACGACGCGGTGGCAGTATTTCTCCTCGTGGCCACTGCTGGGCTGGCTCACCCTGTCCCCTGTACTTTACCTTTCAGACTTCGTTCCAGTCACCTACATGCTGCCCGCCGACTATAACCTGTTCGTGGAAGAGTTCCGGAAAAACCCCTCCAGCACCTGGATCATGAAACCTTGTGGCAAAGCCCAGGGCAAGGGCATCTTCCTGATCAACAAGCTCTCGCAAATCAAGAAGTGGTCCCGCGACAGCAAGACATCTTCGTAAGTGGGGAGACCGCCCGTCCCTGTGCTTCCTCACTGATGGTTTCGTGGCGTCTGTCAGTCTGTCAGCCCCGCACCGGGTGGCCCGCACGTGCTTTTGCAGGTTTACGGCATTCGTCACACGGCGTCGGGGCAGAGGGCGTCGGGGCAGGGCTCTGCGGCATTCGTCACATGGCGTCGGGGCAGGGCTCTGCGGCATTCGTCACATGGCGTCGGGGCAGGGCTCTGCGGCATTTGTCACACGGCGTCGGGGCAGGGCTCTGCGGCATTCGTCACACAGCGTCGGGGCAGAGGGTGTCAGGGCAGGGCTCTGCGGCTGCCGTAGCCTCATTAATCACACGCTCCCACGAGGTGAGGTGCAGAGGGAAATGGCCCACAAGCCAGTGGAAGGTCACAGGAGCAGGGAGACTTGCAGGCTGCTCTTCATCCCAAAAGTTGATGTGACACCTACCGAGTCATGGAGTTTGGGGGTGGCAGAGCAACTGCTTAAGACCTGGGACCCGGATCCTTGACACTCACTGTCAGAGCACATTTTGCTGTGAGACCTTGAGGGTCCTCATCTGGGCAGACTGACAGCACCGCCCTTGCAGGGACGTGGGGACGGCCAGTTAATCCGCACCCGGGCACCCTTGGTACGTGTGGTCAGCACAGGTGTGACGCTAGGTGGCCGGTCGGGTCAGGTGTCCTCCCTGGGTTGGGGACTCCTCGGAACGGAGGGTGCTGGGAGTCCCGTCCCGTCTGAGGCTCACTCTGCTTCTGCGAGGTCCTTGACAGCGGTCACTGTGATCCTGTGTTGAGCATGGCGGCCGTGCCTTCTTGTGTAGTGCATTGCTAGCCCCTAGGTGGGTCAGCCCAAGGAGCACTCCCCAGATGGGTTCCTGGGAGCTGCTGCCACCGTCTCCAGGGGACACCGCCTCTCTCTTCTCACTTAGAGTCAGGGAGCTGGTTGCCAACCGACTGCGTGCACTTTGCTCTGTGCCGTCTAATTTTGTTTATCTCTGACACACGTAGGTTTGTGTCTCAGTCCACTAAGGAAGCCTACGTGATCTCTCTCTATATCAACAACCCGTTACTGATCGGCGGGAAGAAGTTTGACCTGCGCTTGTACGTGCTGGTGTCCACGTACCGCCCGCTGCGCTGTTACATGTGAGAGCCGGGGTCTGTTTCCGTTGGGGAGACCGTGCTTTGATGTGACACCTACTCCTTAGCACCGTAATGAGGGTCCGCGAAGCACACCGTGTGCACAGCACCTCACGCGTGATAAGTATTGAGTGACATGGCTAGCCTTGATGCTAACGTGAGTCTTCAAAATGAAAAGCAGCTTTTAACCAGGCAGACATGCTCAGTGAAAAAAGCCAGACGCAGAAGGCCACACAGAGTGTGATGCTGTTTCTATGCAACACCTGGAATAGGCAGATCTTTTAGAGGCAGAAAGTAGGTTGGCATTCGCCTATCACTGGGGTTGCGGGGTGACCGCTAAAGGTCACAGGGTTTCTTTTTGGGGCAACGCAGATGTTGTAAAATTGATTGGGGTGATGGCTGCACAGCTCTGCGAATGCACCAGAAACTGGTGAATAGTTTCCTTTAGGTGGGTGAGTTACGTGGTGCGTAGGAGTTACATCTCAATAAGGCCGTTATAAACACCACCAACAACAACAAAAAACAAAAAGAAGCAGCGCTTTTCAAAGTTTGAAACAAACCGGCCCACAGCTCTTTAGAGGACAGTGTTATTTTTC